ATTTACTTTTATTTTGTTGGATTTGAATTTTGATAATGACAAAGGAACTTCATATATTTGTATTGCGTCGACTAGTATCTTATGCACAATTCATTTTACCCCTTTCAACTCAGTCGCCTAGCAATCAGTATCCACATCACCATTCCAATCTCTTCCTATGTATTTCATCGCATCTCATCTCACACCTCCATCCACGCACCCTCTCACTTCTGATAGACACTCTTGCCACATCTATCCTACCATCAATTTCAATGTCTCTTCAAAATCTTCTTCTCCAATTTCCCAACTTATGTTCAAGAGTCCATCCATCCATCAACAACCCATCCATAAAAACACCCAATACGCCAACCGAAACAATTCTCCCAACCTACCCATCCCAACCTATCTCCAAATCCTTCCTTGTCTTACCAACCCAACCCAAGACAAGATAAGAGCATACCAAAACCGCACCGAGCCACCCTTCAATTCAATTCAACAACATAGGGAACTACACCACACCACGCTATTCATATGTAAACTCCAAGTCCTAACAAGTTCCCACCTCCCAAAAGAAAACATCAGTACGGCGATCCATCTCATGATCAATATCATGCCAAAAGCCTTTATTCAAACTTCCTCTTTCTCACGTTCTCTCAAACTCCTCGTTTCACATACTTTTATTCTGAAAATTCACTCTACGCCAGGTGGTCATGATTGAGAAGGGTTTCCATCACCGTGTCGGGCTCGATGACTATCACTTCTTTCTCTTCGATTTCCACTTCTATCTCGATAACTTTGACTTCGGTTTCTTTGTGCTACTGCATCATTGTAACTTGGTATTGGTGGAGGTGTAGTTTTTCTTCGGAGCATTGGTGTCCTTTCACTATCTGTACTTCCTCGAGGACTTCCGGCTACTGATGGTAAAGGACTTGTATATTCTGGAGGAGGCTGTGCATTATCGTGTACCCCTAATCCAGTTTGTTGTGTGGCACCTCCTGTAGGTGCCGGCGTAGAACTATTCGAAGCCTCACCGGGCTCTTCGTGTGAAGGAAAGTGTGTAAGTTGAGCTAAAGAAATATCTGTGGGTGATCGTATTGGTCCAGGACTTGTAGGTGGACCATGCCTAAAATTTCCACTTCGCGTTCGTCCATGTCTTGGATCTGGTTGGTAATGGCCATTACTACTTTGTGCGCCTTCTCGTCCTGCCTCTAAAAGAATGCTTCCTTGTTCACTACCATATGGAGGTGGAGGAGCAAGACTACCAGTCATAGGTGCTAAACCCCATTTCTTAACGTTTGCTTCAATAAAAACGAAACCAGATTGTCCAAAATTGACGTGTACTGTGCAAGGACCGTTTGCCCCAACAGCTGGGAAAAGATTCTGTGATTTCAGACCGTGTGCTACATCTTCGAGTTTCTTTCCATTTCGAGTGAAGAATATTGTACCCGTTCGAGGTCGATATCCGACTCCGATAACATCCCCTTGAACGTATTGTGGTCCATATACCGGTCCGCTGAAAGGTTGATTATATCTTCGATGTCCAGTAGATGTATAAGCTACGGAATACTTATGCCAACCTGCTCTGCGTCAGTAATTATACTCACAATCCATGATCCGGACGACATACCTGGTAACCTGAACAAAGGATAAGGCTTTGTAGCCACTCCAATACTAATAAGTGTATTTTCCGGCTTATCGTAAATCTTAGACTCCCAGTAGTAAACCTCGTTCTGTTTTGGTACTGGTAAGTTCGTCAGAGTGCAGCATTCGCTATCGAAGAATTCAATTTCCGTCCTAGCCTCTACAAAACAATTGGCAATCTCCAACTCTGGTTCAAACTCCCAAGCAGAGACACCTTTTTCCTGGATTGCCAAGTATTGTGAGAGGGAAATGTCGGTTGGTAATGAATCGGGTGGGTTTGATTGTACGAAGGCTATGGATAGTATCATCAGCATCATCAAGCGGCAGATAGATAATGATTAGACATACCTTTGGCCCTTAGATATTCAGTTCTTTGCAAATCATCCATCTCTTCCAAGGCTTCCGCCTCTTCCTTTGCGAAAGCCTGTTCATCGTCGTATTCTCCCGGCCTTCCGATCCGATCCAGCAAAACCCTTCCACTACTGGTATATTTGAAGAAGTAAACAATCAGGAAGATAAAAGCTATCAAGATGGCCGAACCAAATGAACTTAATAATCCTATCACCACACCATTTATCGTCGATGAATCAGGGGAGGACGTGAGCTGAACATTGTCGCGAGATGTACTGGTCGCAGCCGCCGCCGCCGCCGCGTCTTGCAGACTAGTCGCTTGTTGTAGTGTATCTCGAAGAGCTTCCTGAGCGCCAGCGATAATGGGTATCGACGTTGGCGTTGTGAATAAAACCGAGGTGGTGAGAGTTGATTGCTGCATCCCCCGCAGGAAGTCCTCCATCATTATACGGAAACCTTATCGCAACCCTTCCAAATGTTGCTTGCCTGCCTTGTTTGCTTCCCTTTCTCCAATGGTCCAACGTAAAGTCGAATATTGAAACCCGTCCGGATGTTTTCTCGGCCAGCCGGAATAAAATAAAATCGAATCGAATCTTTCGAAGCGTTTAAAGGGATATTTTATCGAGGCCGAAAGCCAAAAAAAAAATAACAAAATGGGGTGGTAGTTGTTGGTGGTGGTGGTGGTTTGTATGTATTGTGGTGGAGAAGTAAGAACTGAACTCCGATTACTTGTGGTTTGTAGAAAAGGGCGTAAGGTCTAGGATTGGGATCGGATAGGACATAACAGGACAGGACAGGATAGGATTGGATAGGATTGGATTGGATTGGATTGGATTGGATTGGATTGGGATGTGATGGGGGATGGGATGGGATGGGATGAGATGGTTGGATGGTTCGATGAACGGACGTCGGACGCTTTCGGTAAGAATACCTTGATACCTAGGTAGTAGGTAATTAGTTCTTCGTAGAGTCGTAGATTATAGGTGGTGGTGGTGGTTGGGTGGTGGTAGTAGTAGTAGGTATTGATTTGCTGATAAATTAATTTTTAGTGGCGATAGTTAGGCTGAATATATTTCTTGTTTTCAGTCACTTTTTTCCCTTTTACTCTTTCTTAACTTAGTTATGCTTATTTCTCATTAATCCGTCTTATGCATTCGCAACTTGATAATTTAATGTATTTAAGCAAGCAATGAAGGGAGGGGAAGAAAGGATGCAATCAATCAATCAATCAATCAATCTATTATCATCTATTATCATGCAATGCAATGCAATAAACACTTATTGTGTAAAGGGATCGGTATATAGATAAAGGAAAGGCGTTTTGTCTGGATTTAAGTTCAGAATTGATGTTCTTTGAAGTCTGATGATAATCCCACCAGTGTCCCTACGTCTGAGTTCTGAGTTCTGAGTTCTGAGTTCTGAGTTCTGAGTTCTGAGTTCTGAGTTCCAAGTACCAAGTACCAAGTGCACAGTGCAAAGTGCAAGAGTTTGAAAGTCGGACGTTTTACATTCTTCATTACTCGTATTATGTATTATGTATCATGTATTATGTATTATGAGCCTTAATTCTTCCCATGGATGTTTGACTACCAGTTAGCCTCCCTCCCTCCCTCCCTCTCATTTGACCTGAATGGAGCACTTGGGTACCTAGGTAGAGAGAGGTGATGAAGGAGAGTGGTTTCAGTTAATTTGATATCAATCAACTATCGTTTCAATTTATTATGGAACAGGCCATTAAAGTCGATACCTCCTGATACCTCTACCTGCCTATTGTATACGAATAACAGTACATATGTATGTATGAATGAATACATACGAAGGAAGGAGGAAGGACGGGGTTCTAAATGATTATTGATTAAATAATTGATCTTGATCAGAGTTGCTTTAATGGAATCAATAATACAGGAATCAAGATTCAGCAAGGTCGAACCAACTAGGCAGGTACCAAAATGATACTTACTTACATACTTATACATCCACACATACATCCACACATACATCCACACATACATCCACACATACATCCACACATACGAACTGACGAAGGACATCCCATCAACACTCAACAGCAAGGACCCAGAGTTTCGTTACATCATCTCCACTCATGCCATGCATTCACCAACAGACGCCCATGGTTAAAGCCGAAGAGGGACGGAGTACGGAGTAGGAGTACGAGAGTCTGGATTACACAATACAATGTAAGGAATACTTCATTCAATGTAACATTATTCCAGAATTATCATCTGATCGCATGTATATCACGGCTATGTAAGGTTCTCACTGCTGACTGCTTACCTGGATACATTCCTCTCTTGTTACTACTCTGATACATTTTCTCTTAAACTCACGATGTTCTTTTTTCGGATTATCTTTCAAACTCGTCTCATTGAAATCACTTCAGTGTCCAGTCTCATTTCAAATTTATGCACAGCCTACCTGCCTACCTCGAGATCAGATCCCTCTCATTGCACAGCCAAATCATAGCGTCTTGGGAGGTTGGTGGTGACCTTTGGCTTGTACAGTCACGTGATTGGATAGTCATGGAGATGAAAATTCCAGACTCGCTTGACAATCGGCCATGGACAACCCTTTGAATGTGAAAAGTTTCATGATCAGGTTGTTTGAATCTTGGAATCTTTGAAAGATCTCCTGATATGTTTCATACGTCTCAAAATCTTGGCACTTCCAGATGTTATGGCGAATACAATACCACAAGTATACATCTACTATCCACGATGAGACGACAAAATCTTTATTACATTAAAACTATAACTACCTAGCCATAACAGAGCCATACATCAAGCGCCAGATTATCCTAATCGCACTTTGACCCCAAATACATTATATCCTTCCGGTACCCTACTACTTCCAACACACTATATCCTTCCAGTACCCTACTACTTCCAAAACATTATCCTTCATTCGCATCTCTCATTAAATATCCTCATAAATTTCGTTCACGTTGGTCCCGATGGGTTCAAGTACCACCTCTGATGTCCAATCCACTCCTCAGTAACGTCATCCGGCCCTCAATTCGAGGGTTGATCTCTCCACTCTCTCAACAATTTCTCATTACCAGAAGTGAACTCTTCCAACGACAATCCTTCCTGGTCTTCGAAAGCTTCTTTGATACTGACTACAGGGTGTGTGTGTGCGCGAAACAGACCTTTACGACTGATATGAGATTGCCACTTATGATCTTTGGGGTCTAGACCAGCTCCAAGATTGATCCATCTTGTAAGTATGAACACAATTCCTGCCTCTCCATGGTGTTTTTGCCTCGCCTGAAAGTGCATCCGACAATAACTGCATTGCCCTCGTGTAAAGAAACAATTAGTATATCGGTCTGAATGTTTACAGGCTCTAGTGGTTATTCCACCATAATTTAGAATCTCGGCGTCTCTGTCTTTGAGGTTCAGAGGGACAAAATCCCAGGTTTGAGACCGCAACACAAGCTCATTGGAAACAAACCGGGCATCAACAGACAGTAAAGTCGTTACATTCCAGAACCGACTATGTGTAACCTCTTGGTGTCGGAAAGCCTCAAGAGGAAGTCCAAGATCGATGCCGGTTCTATGTTGTTTCGCCGCCAAGTAAACTTGAGCAAAATGTATTTCGAAGGGCGACGAAGGCCTGAGAATATAAACATTTTGCCTTCTCCGAGCGCAAGTTTCACAACCGAGATGGTCTTTAGTGTTATTGGGCCATTTGATCGTTCTCGCTTGATGAATGCGGTCACACTCGAAGCATGCGAAGTGTTGAGGAAGGTCTCGCGCCAAAAGCTCCACAAATGTGATTTCAACTCTAGGACTAAAATTGAATAGTTTATACGGAATTCTCATAGCTATCAAGTACCGGTCTCCAAGCATTTCTTTCATACTGCGGCTACAGAGGGTCAAACAGGCAGCGTTTTTTCCCGGAAGAAGTTCTGCTATCATCTTGATTATTTCTGCTGGAATGCCAAGTAAGGCTGGTGAGGTTGACTTTCTTTGCTTGTAGGTAAGTACATTGTTGTGAGCAGTTGATTTCTTTTCGGTGATGACAACTTCGTCGGTTTGAGCATTTGTCTTCTTTCCGGTGATGACAACTGAGTCGCTTTGAGTAGTTTGGGTAATTCGATCCATCGTTATGGTAGGTCTGCGTTTTCTAGAAGTTTTCTTTAACGATGTTGAGAGAAGAAGGTGTGTGGAATTGAAATTTGGAAATTTCCTTTGTGGGTTCTATTCAATTATATATAGCTGTCAATTTCTATGAATGACGTTTATATCTAGCTAGTAGCTCGTGATTGAGGATTATTCAAGCTTCAAGAGGTCTAGTGCCCGTTTAACGCAAGCTAAAATACAGTTTCGCGGCCTCACACTCACTAGCTTGAACACGTCAGGTTGGTCTTTAAGGATCTTCTGGAAGATGATCAGAACTCCTTCTTTTTGTGGCATAACCAATTATGGTTCGCGGCTAGACTGCGGTGAAGGTAGCCTCTGAGGAGGTTAGCGGGTTAAGGTGGAGGGAATGTTTGAGGATTTCTCTCAAGAGAATATGCGTAAGTGGACTCGGTAGTAGAGATTCCAAGATCATCATGTTCAATTTCTCTCACTCAGAAGAAGGTGCCAGCTTACGTAGGTACATAACGTATAATAAAATTGGCTCTCATACTCTCAAGAATACAATCAGCATAACAATAAGCAAATCCATCATGGTAGAATACAATTTCCTTCCTCCAGTTTTCTAGATCAGAGGAATTGCTACAATCCAAAAGAATACCAACTGTTCAGTCATCAAAAAGGGAAAGTGATGAATGATTCCTGGACCGACATTCCTTACTCTTCTGGGAAATTATGCACATTTGTAGAACTTATACTATTTCCCCCCAAGACTCACCAAACCCGTAGAAACATCCGTGTGGCATCCTTAGGTCCTTATCTACATGCGCATTTTCCTCGAGCCACACATCTCCTACTATTTCAACATATTCTGCATACGTATCGAATCGTGCGTAAAGATTGTCTAGAGATGGGGATGGATGTGAAATTACTTTTTGGAGACTTCACACTATGCATTCAATTTTCGATACCGAATATTCAATACTAGATACCTAGGTACTCGTATGCCATACCATATCGAAAACCACCCACCCACCCATCCATTCATCCAATTATATAAATAAATATATATATTAATCAAGCTAGATATCTCACCTCATTTCGTATACTAATCAATTTATCTATCTGTGAACCCTAATAATGAATCCAAGATTCAAAATCTGATAATTTGATTTGATTTAATATAATATGAATTAACCGAGACTTTTCTCATTACCTGTATGTGGGATGAAGGGGGTGGTGGTGAATACTAGTATTCCGTACCCAGTACAGAAATCATCACTACTCGCCCACAAACAAGCAGCTAGGTAGTTTGCATAAACATAGAAATACAATATCTATATGCTTCCCAAGTACTATGTTTATATTTCAGATATCGAATTATATATACATACATACGTACATACATACACACAGGATCAGACAGATAATCTCACGTCATTTGTAATAACTTCACGGTAATAATGAATGGATGTCCACGGGTTGGCAAAGAGTTTACGTATGTACTATGTACTAGCGGGTAGGCAGGTAGGTAGATAGGTAGGTAGGGAATTGGATTGATTCTCTTTCTTCTAGCTTTTTTTATAAGATAGGGGGAAGGAAGATTTGATATAATATGATTTGTAAGAAAAGAAGAAGAAAGAAAACTCAACAGTGGAATCTAATGAATAGTGTATATCTGATCCGAATGTACTTTAACTAGTTGTAACTTGTTAGTCAATAGGTACCTAATGAAGATATCTAAATAAACTGATGTGAAGTTATGTTATTCGGCTCGGCTATATTCTCTAAGTGAATGAATAAATTTCCATGGTGAGTGAGTGGGTGGGTTTACGTTCCGCTCCACCATGTAAATGCATCTAAACGTACCAATCACAACGTACCTACCTACCTACCTACCTACTTAGTTTTCTTAACGAGGAACGAGAAATACGTAAAAAATGATAAAAATAAAAATACCACACATACAAAGAAAAGAAACCTAAAATAGATAGATATCTACTACCAAAATTTAGCTTTCTTTGAATCTACCTCCTTTCCCTCTTCACACCCAACATCCATCCGTTCATTCATCAATTAAGTAAGTACCTAGACAAAAGAGAGCAAACCCCTCTAAAAAAGAAATATCCACAATTCACAAAAGATTTTGCCTACTACTGGAATCGAACCAATGATCTTAGCATTTCCTGTGGATACAAGTGCTACGCGTTACCACTGCGCCAAGCAGGCTTTTTTTAGAAGTTATCTTCTATTAGTGGTTGCTGACTGAGCATCAACATTGATATATAAATGAAATAAATAGCTTCAGAATTACAGTGAGATTTCGTGGTCTCAAAGATGCACATGAGCCTGCTATACAACCTAGGTGTACTGTACTCTACATAATTGAAATCATTGGGTTGATATGTGCTTAACTGTATATTTCTAAGGTGAATTTGCTTTGCATACCTAAAGTTCACTATTGTACTCTTTGTGGTTGATTATTATTCTACTCAAATTATATTACTGCATTTAACAGAAAATGTCAAAACATCTTAATTCTTGATTTCTTATTCTGAGTAAGGAATAAAAGTATACCCATATATCTTATAATTACTTGCAACTATGTGCTTTACTATCATGGTATCTCGTCATCGCAATATGCTGTACGTCTTAAATATATAACTGAAAATCATGCAAACATCTCTTTCCAAAATCAATACCTTCATGTATATCATGACTTTCCTTTACTCATTCTTTGCCAAAGAAACATCGTCATTCGAAGCCGTAGCTCCGCCAGCAGCTATTGTCAAACCTTGAAGAATTTCACTTCCAGTGACATATATGATGTATGAAGGGACAGCTATCCAAGCACCGCTATAGAATGTTAGATGAGAAGGACATCTAAAATTGAAAATGACTTACTTTGGAATGATCCATAAGAAAATCAAGTCCCGAATACTATTGTGACCAATATTCTCAAATCCCGAGTAGTATTCGTTCATCCCTATGCCACATTAGCAAAAGCATCATCACCACACAGAACACCAGTCAAACTTACAGTACAACACCGTCTTACTGACTGTCATAACCGCAGCACTATAACCCACCAAAACGGCCAAAGCCCCCATCTTCCCATCCACAGATCTCTGTTCCCCAAGCACCCCCGAATTCTTAGGAGCACCTCTTCCCTGAGCCGGCGATGATTTCCCATACGCATATAAAATATACAAATAGTAATAATACATCGCACTCTCGATAATATTCAAAAAGGTCTGCGCCATCGTAAATCCATTGTGTTCATTGAAAGCCTTCCATCCATATATATAATCGACCTTTCCATATAATTCATATGGAGCCCAGACTGGCCAATGGAGCGATCCTCCAGGCATAGAAAGAGGTCGAAGCATAACATATCCAGCATCCCATGCTACGAGTGGGAGAGAGATGAACAGCCAAATGATAGTGAGGTTGGAGGGAGTATGAGCCCATTGTCCTTTGCGGGCAGGATTGCGAGAGGGGATTGTGGGTGTACGGCTGGGAGTTTCGGGGAATTCGGAGGGGTGTCTGCGTGTTGAGACCATCTTGTTGGTATTGTGTTGTTTTTCACTGATTAACTTCAAAATTATCGAATAAAAGAATTAATTATCTCTATCAATATTATATTGAAAGAGAAAATAGACAGTCTGTCCAAATCCCTCTTGAAACTCCAATAATTCGCTCGTTCCCATTGCACGAATTCCATTCAATCAATTGAATCAATCTGGGGAAGGAGCCACTTAACCCCTCGGGCCTTCTTAATTCCGATGCCTGCCCTGTTCGTGGACACACATGGCAAAATCTAGACGGAAAGCATCAACGTCATAGGCTACATTTTGGGTGTCTTTCAAAATTTCTTGCCTCTGATCAATCTGGCGACTTCCAGCTTTAATGCTACAGTAACTTGTATATCTCGATCTTGCAACCATCTACGGTCACTCATTCTCTATCCAACTTCAAGACAATTTTTCTATGTTATAGTATCTAACAATGGAGTCACCTTCCAAAGCCAAAAGACGATCTCCTAGAATAGTTGAAGCTTCATCAACAACCGTTAAAATGGCACCAAGGAGATCACCATTCCTGCCGACCACGTTCGAAGCAATACTCCTATCAATATATCCTGCAACCTTACTACTAGGCTCAATATTCTCAGTCCTAAGCCCTGACGTACGAGCATCAGTGTACAACCCCGTTCTCCAATCTCATCCTCCAAGCACCGCACCATCATATTTCGCAAAGAAAAGCAACATATTCAACCAATACTTTGTGAAGCAAGGCTGGGCGTGGATATCCGCCAGTTATTTTTTCTTCCTTCTCACACATCCCTCAACCGGACCTCCAGGGGTCTTTATCCTCACAGCTCGACGAGCACGCGGAACTTTACGCTATTTGGTTGTTACAATCTGGTGGATATTCGTCACGCAATGGTTCTTTGGTCCGCCATTAATCGATCGCGGATTTGTTATAACCGGTGGACAATGCGAGCTGGTTGACGCGGCGGAGAAGGGAAAGATTGATATGGATAATACGCGTCAGTTTGTTACGGGGGTAGCTTGTAAAGCTGTGGGTGGAAAATGGAAGGGCGGTCATGATATTAGTGGACATGTTTTCCTACTTGTTTTGGGTAGTATGTTCCTTTTTCAAGAGGTACTTCATGTGGTTCTGCGAAGTTCTGGAATAAAAGAGGAACGGACGATTGTCATGGCAGATGGAGCGATCAAATCGGCAGAGATTGAGGCTCCCTTGCAGAATGAAGCAGAGGGTTTGAATCAAGATGGGTGGTTGGGATTTAGCGTGAAGATTATACTCGGAGTGGCGGGGTTGAGTTTATTTATGTTGGCTATGACGGCCATTTATTTTCATACCTGGTTTGAGAAGCTAACTGGATTGGTTGTCGCGTTCGGAGGGGTGTTTGTTGTGTTTTGGCTTCCAAGACTGAACCCTACTGTGAGATCAGTATTAGGGATGCCGGGAATTTAACAGTTGGCAATGATGATTATCAAAACTACTGTCCCTTTCATTCATAGAGTATTGGCGGCTTTGTATCTAGTCCATATTTTAGATGATGTTAAATAATACCATTATGTTTCGTCGAGACCTTTGCTAATAGGAGAACAAAAAAGCGGTGATATCTCGACTTGATTTGCGGAGGTCATGCGGGATTGGCATGGCAGAAGCTGGACACAGAGAAGTATAAACACATACATCCGGGAGCAATGCGTACCTTGTTACACTAGGTGAATATTAAGTTTTATATTTTATTACCGAAAGTATGGAGTAGTATCATATGATGTTTCAGGGGATGCTCGGTTCGCGAGCCCAATCCGACATAGGGTTTCGCCATCCTCTTGCTCACTTCAGACTTCCAAGGTTTGCATTTCACAATATCACATCACGTGGAAAGATATTCAACGATTGAGATGTATAAAATAAATAAATGATAGTATTTCCAATCCACTGGTACCAAATGAATGTATGTAATCCATGGCCAGACACGATGCGAAATAATCAAGGACTGATGAAACACCCGAGAACTCATTGATGAAACTAAATATTGACATGAGACCGAACTAGTGCGCGATCGGGGACACAGCGCGCAAGTATACTTGTAAGAAGATTGAGAGATGAAGCAGGATTAGAGGCTTAGACGTTGACTAGGTTTCCATTCTCGTCGATCTCGTTGCCGGCCTCGTCGTATTGGGATTCGTAGTTGAAATCTGTATGGTGTTAGTTGATGTTTGATGTATGGTGTGTGAAATGACATTTGGATTGGAGAAATAGGAAAGAAGGGGTAGGAGAAGTAAGATCTTACCTCTGCGTGCGGTCTTGGCTCTCTTGTTTTTCTTGTTGTTGGTTTGACGCTCAATGATTTGTCCGTTGGAATCAATTTCATTGCCTCTGAGTAGAAAGTTAGTATTTGCCCAATTTGAAAGGAGTAGGTGTGTGAGAATAGCTGGTTCTACATACTCTGCATCATAACCATCAGTGGAACGGTCGATTAATTGTCCGTTCTCGTCGATCTCATTGCCCTGGGCATCATAACCGGTTTCTATTAAATTGTAAGCAGATGTTGTTAAGGGGCTGGTTGGTGAGAGACAGGTTGACTTACCACGTTTCTCGATAAGGTTTCCGTTCTCGTCAATCTCGTTGCCCTCGGCATCATAGCTGGTGTCTATTGAATTGTAAGTAGATATTTTTATGGCGCTGGTTGGTGAGAGACAGGTCGACTTACCACGTTTCTCGATAAGGTTTCCGTTCTCGTCAATCTCGTTGCCTTCAGCATCATAGCTGGTGTCTATTGAATTATAATTAGTATTTTCATGACGCTGGTTGGTGAGATAGAAGTTGACTTACCACGTTTATCAACAACTTTTCCGTTGGAGTCCAATTCGTTTCCCCTATAAGATCAAAAGTCAGTAACTAGAAGAGGAACTGAAGGAAGCCAAGCGGTATAGGATGCCGGATGCAGGATCGAATATCTCTTTGAACCAGCAATGCCAAATCAGACGACAGATGAAAGCTCCATCTAATCAATCGGTAGGATTATCGATGCATGCTAATGGATATACAAGACCGGTCGCACCCGTGGAGATTGAAGTGCTGATGCTGAAAGGATATTTTGAAAGTAGGCGGTTACTTACTCAGCGTCGTACTCGGTATCACGACGAGCTTTCTTTGCTAGACAGCAATTAGTACTTTGAACTAACTCATAGTGAATAAGACAACATACCCTTCTTGTTTTTCTTGGTGTTGGTTTGACGTTCGATGAGGTTTCCGCTGGCATCGATTTCGTTGCCATTGGCATCATACCCATCGGCACCTAACACTGTTAGAACATATATAGGAGAAGATGAGGAAAGCTGCAACTTACCACGCTCGATCAAGTCGCCATTTGCATCAATCTCGTTGCCTTCCGCATCGTAGCCAGTCTCAGCACGTGCGCTCGTCTTGGTTCTCTTCTCGATGACATTTCCATTCTCGTCAATCTCTTCGCCTGCAGCGTTGTACTCTGAATCTTTGGGATCATTAGCGAGTCTTTCTACCATGCCAATACATGAATGGTACTAACCACGCTCGATCAAGTTGCCATTTGCATCAATCTCGTTGCCTTCCGCATCGTATCCAGTCTCAGCGCGTGCATTGGCTTTCTTGGCTAAAGTAATGATATCAATATCGTAAATCTAGTCCAATCCAAATGTATTGACATACCAGCCTTGTTCTTCTTGGCCCTCTTCTCGATGACATTTCCGTTCTCATCGATCTCATCACCGGCTGCGTTATAACCAGTATCTACGAGTCTGTTAGTAGTCACACTGGTGTATATTATTCAAAATAACTACTCACCACGTTCGATCAAGTTGCCATTTGCATCGATCTCATTACCCTCCGCATCGTAATCGTTGTCGCGAGCAACAATTCCAAACTCTGCTCTTGCCTCAATACCAGAAACTGAACGAGCGACATTGGTAGTTGTATCCACTGGAGCTGCCTGAACTGCCAACATGGCGCAGAAGGCCAAAATCAAACTTGCTGTTGAGGAACGCATCTTGAATATATGAATAGTACTGTCAAAGTAATTGATAAATGAATTAAAGTATAGTTGAATAAAAATCAGGCCAGCTGTAGAACAGTTAAAAATGAAAAAAGTAGATTGGAATGGTTTAGAGAGAACATTGTGAAGGGGAAAAAAGCTGTATATATATAGAGAAATACCCAACGATCAATTCCCCATCCTCCATATCGTCTCAAACACCCGCATGTCAGGCAAAGTCAAAGAAAGATCAGACAGCCTAGAATTTCACCATCAGGCGAAACAAATGTGTAAACAGCCGCTCATACGCAGCCTCATTGGAAACAACATTTGTCAGACTCTATACTCTTTGCGAAAACTCCACATGAAAAAGCTTATCATTACTAGTTTCCGTAGACTCAAATAGAAGCAATCCAGACTTGGGAATATGCACCAAGCATTTCAGTCCCTCAGAATCCAATGGACTGCCTCGCAACATCTGTGCTTTGGTGGAAAGGCTTGAAACAGCTGTGCGTAAAGCCATGGCGGGATAGGGATAGGCCGACTCATTCGTTTTACCTTCACTCACAACAAAAGTCATATTATGACAACAGAATTCTAAAAAAACGCCGGATCGTCATTATTGATTATCGGTGACAAATTCCTGTTACAAAGTGAGCAATACGCTGCTAACATAAAGGACTTCCAGAAATTGAAATGCTATTCTCGAACCATCTTAGTCCCGATTTGCCTCCTCACTACCTGCTATTCAGCTCGTATTCATATCAAACAGCTAATAAATATCAAAAATAACCACCAAAAACCCCAGGAACCCAAACGATTGCGAATAAAAGGAAACATTGGAAAGATTCCCGCGAAAAATGAGACTGATGTATTAACAAGCACAACCCTCCTTCGAAGCATTATCCCTTGGCCCTGTCAAATTAACCCTAGACTGTTCTTCTCCTCTTGCTGAAGCTGCTTGTGTACCTCCAGGTCCTCGAGCTCCCTTCAATGATGTCTCTGGGATGG